ACCCATTACGCAAAGTAAGCATTTGCAGTATAGTTGATTTTGCCCCGGGGCGCTGGTGATATAACCAGCTGTGCTAAAGCCCAGCCCAACATGGAATGAAACTCAAGAAATGAAAGGTTGTCTCCCACCTCATTTAACAAGTGTCAAATTACCTTTTAGATATCCTCCACAGGTTGACCTTGTGCTGCTCCTGTGACATCTTAGCCTCTTTCTTATAAAGATCTGGAGCCTCTTTATGATTTCATAAATTTGTCCACATCTGATTGGCTAACAATGCTGCCTAGATTTAAGTCTCTCCAACAACAGGAGCAACAACTCAGGATGGTATTTCTGGCTGGAAACGATTGGACGGAATGGTTTTCCAAAACTGTTCCAGTTTTCTTTTCTTGTTCCAAGATATTGTTCTCATGTGCTGTCAACAACCATCCTTGGCAAACATTTCTCAACAGGATCTAGAGGACCGGTTGAGTAAAAAGTCATCTTCTAACTATCTGTATTGCTCAGTCTTTCGAATACACCGCAGTCCTGATGAGAAAGGATTCAAAATCGTATCCCAAGGATGCCTGGAAATGGTTCGTGCTAGTTATCAAGTGGCACTAGGTATACTTGTTGGCTTGGCAATCCTCTGCCTTTTATTGAAGATCATAAAAAACATTCAGGTAAGACTCATAAGTATAAGTCACTTAATGAAGAGAATTGCTCACACATTCACCATTAGTGTGATGTTTTCCATAGATGTTCCCAAATGTCCAAATCAATATTCCATGAAATCATAACAATTTTTATTTCATTATCCCAGGCATGGGCAAACTTTGACCCTCCAGGTGTTTTGGACTTCAACTCCCAGCCTCAGGCCCCTTTCTTTTCCCCTTCAGCTGCTTAAGAAGGAAGGAAGGAAGGAAGGAAGGAGAGAAGGAATAAAAGAAGGAAGAGAAAGAAAGGAAGGAAGGAAGGAAGAAAGAGAGAAAGAAAGAAAGAAAGAGAGAAAAAGAAGAAGGAGAGGAAGGAAGGAGAGAAGAAAGAAGGAAGGAAAAAAAGAAAAGAAGGAAGGAAAGGGGAAGGAGAGAAGGAAGGAGAGAAGAAAGGAAGGAATGAGAGAAGGAAGAAAAAAGGAGAGAAGGAAGGAAGGGAATGAAGGAAAGAGGGAAGGAGGAAAGAGAGAAGGAAGGAGAGAAGGAAATGAAAAAGTATGTGAGGAGGGAAGGAAGGAGAGCAGAAAGAAAGGAAGAAAAAGGAAAGAAGGAAGGAAGGGAAGAGAAGGAAGGAGGAAGGAAGGAAGGAGGAAGGAAGGAAGAAAAAGGAAGGAAGGAAGGGAAAAAAGGAAAGAAGGAAGAAGGATAGAAGGAAAGAAGGAAGGAAGGAAGGAAAGGAAAAGGAAGAAGGAAAAAGGAAGAAGGAAGGAAAGAGAAGGAGAAAAGAAGAGAAAGAAGGAAAGGAAAAAGAAGGAGAAAAAAGGAGGGAAGAAGGAAGGAAGAAAGAAAGAAGAGAAAAAAGGAAGCGAGGAAGGAAGGAAGGAAGGAAGGAAGGAAGGAAGGAAGGAAGGAAGGAAGGAAGGAAGAGGGAAAACGGAAAGAAGGAAGGAAAAAAGAAAGAAAAGACAGAAGGAAGGGAGGGAGCGGGAGGGCCCAAGTTTGCTTAAGTGGTTGAGGGAGAAAAGAGTCTGAGGCTGTTAGGAGTGGTGGGAGTTGAGGTCCAAAACACCTTGAGGGCCAAAGTTTGCCCAAGCCTGGGTTATCCTCTAAATTGTACTCTGCTTATGTTTTCTTTCCCCCTTTTTTACTTGATGCAAATCAGTGTTTGTTTCTCATTTTCCGCAGCCCTGTCCAGCAATGGCTGAGACACCCGGTGTTTGCGTTACGTCAGAAAAGAAGAAGGAAGAAATGCATTACAAGTTGGAGATCTTCAACATTATTAAATACCACAACCACGTGACTCGCCGCCACAAGAAAAAAGTCATGCATCACAATAGCAAATAGCCTCAACATGGGCATTTTTTGAGATGAATCGTTTGGACTACTGGACTGAAAAGAAATAAAGGGCGTTACGAAATGCCTGGACTGAAAAGAAATAAAGGGCGTTACGTTTGAAAATGCCTCCACAAAGTGATTCACACTGAGAATAACTATGCTCCCATCTACACTGACCATTTAATGCAGCTTCAAACTGGTATTAAAGAAAGTGGTGATGACACAGGAAATCCTGGAACCAGTTAGAGCAGTGTTTCTCAACCTTCCTAATGCCGCGACCCTTTAATACAGTTCCTCATGTTGTGGTGACCACCAAGCATAACATTATTTTTGTTGATACTGCATAACTATAATTTTCCTACTGTTATGAATTGTAATGTAAATATCCGACATGCAGGGTGTATTTTCATTCACAGGAACAAATTTGGCACAAATACCTGATATGCCCAGTTTTGAATGCTGATGGAGTGGGTGGGAGATTGATTTTGTCATTTGGGAGTTGTAGTTGCCCAAATGTGAACACTGGTGGAGTTTGGCGAAAATAGACCTTAACATTTGGATGTTGTCATTGCTGGGATTTGTAGTTCACCTACAATCAAAGAGCATTCTGAAATCCACCAACAATGCAATTGAACAAAACTTGACACACAGAACTCCCATGACGAACAGAAAATACTAGAAGGGGTTTGGTGGTCATTGACCTTGGGTTTTGGAGTTCACTTAAATCCAGAGAGCACTGTGGACTCAATGATGGATCTGGACCAAACCTGGCATGAATACTCAATATGCCCAAATGTGAACACTGGTGGAGTTTGGGGAAAATAGACCTTGACATTTGGGTGTTGTCGTTGCTGGGATTTATAGTTCAGCTACAATCAAAGAGCATTCTGAACTCCATCAACAATTGAATTGAACCAAACTTGGCACACAGAACTCCCATGAGCAACAGAAAATACTGGAAGCATTTGGTGGACATTGACCTTGAGTTTCGGAGTTGTAGTTCATCTACATCCAGAGAGCACTGTGGACTCAAAGAATGATAGGTCTGGCATGAATACTCAATATATCCAAATGTGAACACTGGTGGGGTTTTGGGGAAAGAGATTTAACATTTGGGAGTTGTAGTTGCTAGGATGTATAGTTCACCTACAAACAAATAGCATTCTGAACCCCACCAAGGATAGAATTGGGCCAAACTTTCCACACAGAACCCACGACCAACAGAAAATACTGTGTTTTCTGATGGTCTTTGGTGACCCCTCTGACACTCCCTTGTGATCCCCAGGTTAAGAAACACTGAGTTAGAGGCTTGGATGGATGACTGGATGGCCCACAAGGTCTCTTCCAACTCTATGATTCAATGGAGGGAGGAATATTAACACTCCTCATAGGGCTTGTTCTCCAGAACCTTGATCATTTTGGTTGCCCTGCTCTGGACACATTCCAACTTGACAATATCTCTCTTGAACTGTGGTGCCCAGAAGTGGACACAATATTCCACATGTGGTCTAACCAAAGCAGAATAGAGGGGTAGCATTACTTCCCTAGATCTAGACACTATGTTCCTATTGATGCAGGCCAAAATCCCATTGGCTTTTTTTGCCGCCACATCACATTGTTGGCTCATTCCACGAGGACTCCAAGATCTTTTTCACACATACTGCTCTCGGGCCAGGCACTGTCCCCCATTCTGTATCTTTGCATTTTGTTTTTCCTGCCTAAGTGGAATATCTTGCATTTGTCACTGTTGAACTTCATTTTGTTAGTTTTGGCCCATTTCTCTAGCCTGTCAAGATGGTTTTGAATCCTGCTTCTGTCCTCTGGAGTATTGGCTATCCCTCCCAATTTGGTCCCGTCTGCAAACTTGATGATCCTGCCTTCTAACCCTTCATCTAAGTCATTAATAAAGATGTTGAACAGGACCGGGCCCAGGACAGAACCCTGCTTGTGGCACTCCGCTCGTCACTTCTTTCCAGGATGAAGAGGAAGTATTGGTGAGCACCCTCTGGGTTCGTCCATTTAACCAATTCCAGATCCACCTCACCGTAGTTTTGCCTAGCCCACATTGGACTAGTTTCCTTGCCAGAAGGTCATAGGGGACCTTGTCAAAGGTACGCTACATCCATGGCATTCCCTGCATCTATCCAGCTTGTAACTATCGAAAAAAAGAGATCAGATTAGTCTGGCATGACTTGTTTTTGATAAATCCATGTTGACTCTTAGCTATGACCGCATTGATAGCCATGTATAAATATGTGAGAGGAAGTTACAGGGATGAGGGAGCAAGCTTGTTTTCTGCTGCCCTGGAAACCAAGATGCAGAACAATGGCTTCCAACTACAGGAAAGGAGATTCCACCTGAAAATGAGGAATAACTTCCTGACTGTGAGAGTTGTTCAGCAGTGGAACTCTCTGCCCAGGAGTGTGGTGGAGACTCTTTCTCTGGAGGCTTTTAAACTGAGGCTGGATGGCCATCTGTCAGGGGTGTGTTGAATACGATTTTCCTGCTTCTTGGCAGGTGGTTGGACTGGATGGCCCACAAGGTCTCTTCCAACTCTATGGTTCAATTGAGGGAGAATATTAACAATATAAGATATGCAGATGGCACCATACTGCTGGCAAAAAATAGCAGAGACATGGAACAATTACCAAATAAAGTTAAGGAAGAATGTGAAAAGGTAGGATTACACTTAAACATCAAGAAAACAAAAATAATGACCAGAGACTATTTAAGGTATATAGCTTTAAAGTAGATTATGAAGACACTGAAATGGTTTAGGGTTTTCCATACTTTTCCATACAGTGTACGGTCTGTTGGGGTTACATTGTTGAAGATGAAGGTCATGTGTTGTAATCAGGAAATGTAAAATGCCGTGAGCGCACCATCATCCTCATCACCACTGAGGTCTTCCTTCCTGATGGAATTGGCACTCATCCTCATTCGATGGTGGTTCTACCATGTTCAGGAGAATCCCCTTCCCTCTGGGTGTCTGTACTGGTAGGAGAAGCCGTGTCTGATCTTATTGAGGTCCTATTGTTTTTGTTTACTTTTTGGACCTGGCAAGAGTTTGTCTTGCCTTTTTTATCAATTTAAGTCTTCTTTTCCAGTACAGATCTCCTGGTGCGGACTTCTTGCACTTTCTTCTACCTCTCTGGTGCAACCCTCCACCCATCTGATCGTGTTCTGAGTTTGTAAGCTCCATTCTTGCTGTAATTTCCTTGTAAATATTTGGAATATCACGGTCTATGATTTGATCATGTCTCTCTTTCAAAGCTTTATAATGTTCATAACAGTCGCTTACTTCGTAGGCCAGTCTACGTAATTCAGTAATGCATTCAATGAAGTTCATTTTTTTTGGTTGGACATGATCATCTGCGATGTCGTTGCCTTTCTGCATCTTACGAGGTTTAGCTGGTTTCTGAGTTTCAGACCTGTTGCGTTTCAAGCCTTTTCCTAAAAGTGATAATAAATAATGAATAAAATATCAAAACATGGATAGCTATTTCTCATATTACAGAGAGACATTCTGTAGGAGACACATGGACATGCACACAACACACACAATTGCCTAATATTTTTTGAAGTTGACGGATTGGAAGTCTCAGGGATGGGGTTATTGGGCTGCTTATCTATTACCGTATATACTCGAGTATAAGCCAACCCGAATATAAGCCGAGGCACCTAATTTTACCACAAAAAACTGCAAAAACGTATTGACTCGAGGATAAGCCGAAGGTGAGAAATTTAGCTTGTACTGGTAATAATCAGTAGGTTAAATGTTTTTGAGCATTTACATACAACTGTAATTTAAGATAAGACTGCCCAACTCTGATCAAACCATTATTCTAACCTCCTTCAATGTAAATGTGCTTACCTATTACCAATACTGATAGAGTAAAATAATAAATGCAATAACATGTAATAAAAATAATAATAGAGCAAATAATGGAAATTTAATAATATTGGCAATCATAAAGTAATAAATGTAATAATAATAATAGAGTAAAATAATAAATGTAATAAAATAATAATAGAGTAAAATAATAAATGTAATAAAATAATAATAAAGTAATAAATGTAATAAAATAATAATACAGTAAAATAATAAATGTGGCGGGATTGTGGCGCAGCTGGCTGAGTGTCAGCTGCATTAAGATCACTCTGACCAAAAGGTCATGAGTTCGAAGCCAGCCCGGGTTGGAGTGGGTTTCCAACCAATTGTGTAGCCTGTTGTTGACCTTTGCAACCCGAAAGACAGTTGCATCTGTCAAGTAGGAAAATTAGGTACCACCTTAAAGTGTGGGGAGGCTAAATTAACTAATTTATGAGGCCATAAAAAAAGACTCCAGCAAGCACTCCAGAAAAAAGCATGTGGGGAATGCGGAAGTACTTCATCAGTGTCGCAGATGGACGATGAAAGCGACAGCTCCCCTGGCGGCCAGAAAAAGTTAAATAGCCTCTGTGTATGTCTGTATATGTTGTATGTCAAAATTGGCATTGAATGTTTGCCATATATGTGTACACTGTAATCCGCCCTGAGTCCCCTGCGGGGTGAGAAGGGCGGAATATAAATGCTGCAAATAAAAATAATAAATAAAATACTAATAACAGAGTAAAATAATAAACTGACTCGAGTATAAGCCGAGGGGAACTTTTTCAGCCTAAAAAAGGGGCGGAAAAACTAGGCTTATACTCGAGTATATACAGAATATATTAAATACAATACAATGTGTGAATATAATATACAATTTAACATAATATACAATGTAATATACATTATATTGTATATATAATATATTGTATATACATATAATATTGATAATAATATTATAATGTAATACAACATAATATTAATTATATATTATATATTAAATGTAATATTTCTAATACAAATACATTCACATGATTAGCTATTTCTAAATGCTTTCTGATGTTGTTATTTAATTTAATTGGGATGTTCTGTTGATTTCTGTAAGTTTGTTATTTCATGTGATTGAGACTGTTTATTGATTTTGATTCATTTTGTTGTAGCATTTTATGTTCTGTGTTACACTTCAGTCAGTTTATAATCCGAACCATCATCACCTGTATTCACGGAAGAAGTGGTTGTCACCTTTGGTGGTTGATCCACGGAATCGTCAGAAAACACCTGTTCTGTGGAAAAACAGGAAAGCATTTTTCAGAAAAGACACACACACACACAGTGGGCGATCATTTTATTATTATGCTAGCCATCCCCTGCCACGAATTGCTGTGGCCCACTCTGGTGGTCATGGGGGTTCTGTGTGGGAGGTTTGGCCCAATTCTATCGTCGGTGGGGTTCACAATGCTCTGTGATTATAGGTGAACTATAAACCCCAGCAATTACAACTCACAAATGTCAAGATTCTATTTTCCCCAAACTCCACCACTTTTCACATTTGGGCATATTGAGTATTTGTGCCAAGTTTGGTCCAGATCCATAATTGTTTGAGTCCACAGTGCTCTCTGGATGTAGGTGAACTACAACTCCAAAACCAAAGGGCACTGCCCACCAAACCCTTCCAGTATTTTCTGTTGCTCATGGGAGAACTGTGTGGCAAGTTTGGTTCAATTCCATCATTGGTGGGGTTCAGAATGCTATTTCATTGTGGGTGAACTACAAATCCCAGCAACTACAACTCCCAAATGTCAAGATTCTATTTTCCCCAAACTCCACCACTTTTCACATTTGGGCATATTGAGTATTTGTGCCAAGTTTGGTCCAGATCCATCATTGTTTGAGTCCACAGTGCTCTCTGGATGTAGGTGAACTACAACTCCAAAACTCAATGTCCACCAAACTCTTCCAGTATTCTCTGTTTGTCATTAGAGTTCTGTGTGCCAAGACTGGTTCAATTCCATCATTGGTGGAGTTCAGAATGCTCTTTGATTGTAGGTGAACTATAAATCCCAGCAACTACAACTCCCAAATTACGAAATCCATTTTTTTGAGTGGAGGACATAAATTGGCCTACTAGATGTCTTGTGTCCAAATTTGGTGTCAATTCCCCCAGTGGTTTTTGAGTTCTGTGAATATCACAAACAAACATTACATTTTTATTTATATAGATTATCTTTTGGAGTATAAGGACAAACCCATCACTTGAGGGTCAGGCACTTCCGCAGCTGGAATTTCAACGTTCTCAAAAACATCTTGTAGCGGCATATTTTCAATGTATGGTTGGTTCTGAGTATAAACAAGAAAAATATGTTGATTGTAATGACTCATTTCTGACAGTTTCTGTTGAATCTAGGAAGGGGCGGAGGGAGAGGGGAAGAGATGAGCGTTAAACAGGTTGTACAAACATGTTGAGACCTATTCCCTACCATTGCTTGTACCCAACCCAAGGCAGCATTTCTCAACCTGGAAAGTCAAGACCGGGGGGGGGGGGGTCACCAGGGGGATGTCAGAAGGGTCACCCAAGACCACCAGAAAACACAGTATTTTCTGTTGGTCATGGGGGTTCTGTGTAGGATGTTTGGCCCAATTCCATCGTTGGTGGGGCTCGGAATGCTCCTTAATTGTAGGTGAACTACAACTCCTAAATGTCAAGGTCTATTTATCCTAGTAACTACAACTCCTAAATGTCAAAGTCTATTTCCCCCAAACTTTACCAGTGTTCACATTTGGGCATATTGAGTATTCATGTCAAGTTTGGTCCAGATCCATCATTGTTTGAGTCCACAGTGCTCTCTGGATGGAGATGAACTACAATTCCAAAACTCAAGGTCAACGCCCACCAGACACTTTCAGTATTTTCTGTTGGTCATGGGAGTTCTGAAAGTGCTGAGAGTGCCTTGGACTGCGAGAAGATCCAACCAGTCCATCCTCCAGGAAATAAAGCCCGACTGCTCATTGGAGGGAAGGATACTAGAGACAAAGTTGAAGTACTTTGGCCACAACATGAGGAGACAGGAAAGCCTAGAGAAGACAATGATGCTGGGGAAAGTGGAAGGTAAAAGGAAGAGGGGCCGACCAAGGGCAAGATGGATGGATGGCATCCTTGAATTGACTGGAATGACCTTGAAGGAGCTGGGGGTGGTGACGGCCGACAGGGAGCTCTGGCGTGGGCTGGTCCATGAGGTCACGAAGAGTTGGCGATGACTGAACGAATGAACAACAACATGGGAGTTCTGTGTACCAAGTTTGGTTCAATTCCATCGTTGGTGGAGTTCAGAATGCTGTTTGATTATAGGTGAACTATAAATCCCA